TCCCCCTCCCTCCCTCCCTTCTCCCACGCGTTCGTGTTGAGCTTCCTCCCCCGTGTGTCTATTGTTGAGTTCACTATGCTAGCAGCATGCGTTTACTGTAGAGCAGTTAACCATGCAGTGCTCTAACACCATCGCACAACGCACGTGCGCGTATGATATTTTATTGGTTACCGGACGCCCAGCTCTCAGGCTACGCGTCCGGTCATATATTTTTATATTATTATCATATTATTTAATTATATTATATTTATTTTTTCAGTAAAAATAATGAACAGTAAGTTTTTACCATAATATTACCTACCTTTAGGTATTTTATAGAAAAAAAGAGGGTTTTTGTAACTTTTGAAGCAATAGTAAATCCAGTAAAATCAACGATTTTGAAACGGGGCGTGGCCTAATCGTGACGTGGATTTGGGAATCTGTGCTGAGCTTTGTAATGGATGATCGGACGCGTAGCCACTGTGTATTTTATTGGGCGTCTTTTGATTGAATTGCGTCGACGCGTCGAAAAGAGCAAATCTTTGCGATAAATTTTCGTTATTTTCGTCATCCGCGCACTTAAAGAAAAACTTGCACGTCTGCTCTGAATTTTCAGCGTTTTATTGCGTTATTTTGCTCGTAGTTTGGTCGCGTTAAAGAATCTAGTGTTTGCCAATGTTGCAGCATGTTTGTCGCTGCAATTTGCATTGCATCGCAAGTGGAAAATTGCGACAGTCTGTGTTAATCTGTTGTCTCCGGTGCGATTTCAAGATTGCAGTCAGGCTCTCCGTGTCGGAGTCTAGCCCTACGCCGCCACTGTCTCCCGGCGCCACCTGGACATTTACTCCAGTACCCGCATTGTCTCCCAGCGCCACCTGGGTGTCAAGTCCAACATCGGAATTGTCTCCCAGCGCCACCTGGGTGTCAAGTCCATTATCAGAATTGTCTCCCAGCGCCACCTGGGTGTCAAGACCGATATCAGAATTGTCTCCCAGCACCACCTGGGTGTCAAGTCTGGAAGCAACGCCTGCTGTCAGCGCCACCTGGGTGACTAGCTCAGAGGCAACGCCTGCTGTCAGCGCCACCTGGGTGACTAGCTCAGAGGCAACGCCTGCTGTCAGCGCCACCTGGGCGCCCAGCCCGGAGACGACATCTGCTGGCAGCGCCACCTGGGTGCAGCTGCGCAGCTCCATGGATCACAGCGACGACTACCACACGGCCGGCGGTAGCGCGCCGGGGTCAGAGGTCAAGTACTCGGCCACGCCCTTCCTCGCTACCGGCGACCTCTATAGTTCGCGTACGTCCGAGTACGCAGACGTCGCCACCGTCGCCGTAGGTGGCAGCACCGTTACGCTAGGTGTCAGCACCGTTGCGCAGGAGGTAAAACACAAACATGGATGCGGCGTGTCGTTGTGATGTTCGATCTAACATGCTCGCTATACTACGTCTGTGCGGATTTCGCAGCGAATCCAGACTTGATGCTTCACTAACAACGGCAATCGGAGATAGCAAACCTCCGCCACGGCGTAACAGTCCCCCCCCCCCCATCTTGCTGGTACACCCAATATAGAGTTGGATGAAATTTTCAGAAATTTGGAAAAAATATAATCCAGGATTTTTTTTTATATGAATTTTGAATGCGTTCGAAGTCTTCCCCACAAAAAGAACCATCGCTACGCCTTTACGGACAGCACAGTGTGTCGACTGCTAGTTAGCGTTGACGCACTATGCCTAGCGCCGGTACCTTTAAACGGCTTTGCGAAATAAACCGTATGCCGCGAAGTCGCTACGGCGAAATTACGCACCCGATTGTTTCCGAAGGCATGATTGCTGTCCGATGTGTTTTCTAACAACACGGTGTGTTTTCTAACAACACGAGATGATGCGGAGCGGATGCTGCAATGCATCGGAAATTATCTGCTTTGCTTCTGCTGCTGTTTGGCTTCTTCTGCTTTGCTTGCTTCCTGCCTCAAGGCGAATATTGCTGGATGGATAAATGTTGTTTCTGCCTCTGCTGCAGCTACAGCTGCAGCTGCTGTTGCTGTTGCTGCTACTGCTGTTGATGCTGTTGTTGCTGCTGCTACAGTTGCTGCTACTGTTGTTGCTACTGTTGCTGCTACTGTTGCTGCTACTGTTGTTGCTACTGTTGCTGCTGTTGCTGCTGTTGCTGCTACTGTTGCTGCTACTGTTGTTGCTTCGTACTGCTTTGATAACGTACTGTTACTACTGCTACTGCTATTGTTAGGGTTGCTGCTACTGCTGTTGCTGCTGCTGATACTGCTGCTACTGCTGCTGCTGCTGCTACTGCTGCTGTTGATACTGTTGCTGCTGCTGCTGCTACTGCTGCTGTTGATACTGCTGCTACTGCTGCTGCTGCTGCTGCTGCTGTTGCTATTGCTACTGCTACTGCTTCATTTCTAAAGCTTGTGCTGCTGCTTCTACTGCTGCTGCTGCTGCTGCTGCTACTGCTACTGCTACTGCTTCATTTCTAAAGCTTGTGCTGCTGCTGCTGCTGCTACTGCCTATGCTGCTTTTACGTCTAACCCTGCCGCTGATTCAATCTGTTTGGTTATTAACAATCTTTCTTCGATGATTCTGATCATCGTCTGACGTTGCGACGCCGTCATTGTGGCTGTTGATGCTATCACCATCATCGCTATCACCAGCGTCTCGGGATGTTTGTACGGATCAGTGGCAGATACTGATGTTGGTGATTGATGGAGGCTGCAACTTCATCTGCTCTGTCCTGGGCAACACAGCACTGGTGTTATCATGTATAAGCGAATGGTTTCTGATTCGAGAGATGCAAAGTTGTCGCTGTATGATTGTAGAAAGTGAAGTATACGCTGTCCCGCGTCTCTCTCTCTCGCTCTCTCTCTCTCTCTCTCTCTATTCATTTCATCGTCTGCGCTGTAGCGAGGCGTTCAGTGATGCGTTCACGATGCCGGCGAGCGAGGGATCGTCGCGACGATCTTACCATCCACTCTAATCGCCCGTTTACGTGTGACTTCAAGCTTTCAGCTGCGTCGACCGTGGCGCCACCTCCCCCTGAGACGTCCTCTATCAGCGCCACCTGGGCACCCAGCCCAGATATGACAACTGCTGGCAGCGCCACCTGGGCACCCAGCCCGGAGACGACATCTGCTGGCAGCGCCACCTGGGTGCAGCTGCACAGCTCCATGTATGACAGCGATGACTACCACACGGCCGGCGGTAGCGCGCCGGGGTCAGAGGTCAAGTACTCGGCCACGCCCTTCCTCGCTACCGGCGACCTCTATAGTCCGCGTACGTCCGAGTACGCAGACGTCAGCACCGTCGCCGTAGGTGGCAGCACCGTCGCGTCGGAGGTAACAAACCGCACGGAGCTGTGCCGGTGTGTGGCGTGACCTTGAATGACCCCCCCTCCGACTGACCCCTCACTGACCCCTTACTGACCCTTCACTGACCTCTGTTGCTGCATGCCCCCCCCAGGGACGATCTGTGGGGACCCCTGTGCGTCGCGCGTGTACGACGCTACGATGATGTAGTCGCTTCACTAACCAACATTATACGCTCGTGACATTTGTAGCCCGAAGCATTCATGGAATGCATCTGCTAGCCAGCCTTCTACAATATACGAGCTCTCTCTCTCTCGCTCTCTCTCTCTCTAAGTGGGAGTGTTCAGAGTTGACAGCTTGAGTGAATAGCATCGTAGCGGGATGCGTCTAGCTGTCTGCGTTTCCGCTCGTAACTGCTTTACAAATGTCAAGAGCGCAGCGCTACTGCTGCTGCTGCTGATTGTTGTTATTATCATTGTTGTTGTTGTTGTTGTTGTTGTTGTTGTTGTCGTTGTTGTTGTTGTTGTTGTTGTTGTTGTTGTTGTTGTTGTTGCTGCTGTCGTTGTCATTGTCGTTGACGATGACGGCGACGACGATGATGATGATGATTTATGATGTTGATTGATGATGTTATCACACCATTGATGTTGTTATCGTTACTGTTGTTATTTTTGTTGTTATTGTTGTTGTCGTTGGCGTAACTGCCAAATGTCTGATTGCCATAATGCTATAGCTGCATGTTTTTGAGTTCAACTAAATCAGTGAGCCCTAGCGATGGATGAATAATTCAAGCTAACCAGCGTTCGTTTTGCTTCATTTTTCTCGTAGAAATTCAATTATCGTGTGCTGTGTGAGAGAGCGTGTGTGTGAGAGTGCGTGCGTGTGAGAGAGCGTGCGTGTGAGAGAGCGTGCGTGTGAGAGAGCGTGTGTGTGAGAGAGCGTGCGTGTGAGAGAGCGTGTGTGTGAGAGAGCGTGCGTGTGAGAGAGCGTG